AACATGGAATTATACATCAAACGACTCCATATACACCACAACAAACTAGTGTTGCCGAAAGAAAAAATATAACATTCAAGGATATGATTAATTCCATGTTAAATGTTTTTGGGCTTCCACACAGTTTGTGGGGTAAAGCTATACTTATTGCAAATACCATATTGAATAGGGTTCCTCAAAAGAAGATTGACAAGTCACCTTATGAACTATGAAAAGGACATAAACCCACTTATAAAACCCTCAAAATGTGGGGTTGCTTAGCAAAAGTGCAAGTTCCATTACCAAAAAGAATGAAACTATGACCTAAAACTATTGATTGTGTATTCATTGGATATGCAAACAATAGTGCTGCTTATAGGTTCCTTCTTGTAAAATCTTCAATTTCTGACATTCATGTTAACACTATATTAGAATCGGCAGATGCATAATTCTTTGAGGATATATTTCCTTACAAAGAAAAGGAATCTGGTTCTAATACAAAAAGGATTCATGATCATAGTCATGATGAGGCCTCTTCTTCAGGTGTCCAAGAAAATGATGTGGAATCAAGAAGAGGAAAAATAATCAAAGTTTCTAAAAGCTTTGGATCAGATTTCATTGCTTACTTGTCCGAGAATGAACCTAGAACTTTTAAAGAAGCAATGCCTTCTTCCAAGGTTCCTTTATGGAAGGAAGCAATTAAAAGTTAAATGGAATCTATTATGGAAAATAACACCTATGGATTTTCAAGAAGAAACTTAAGGCGGATGTAACCAATGACAAATTCAAGGCACATTTAGTAGCCAAAGGTTATCGCCAAAGGGAAGGGTTGGATTATTTTGACACTTATTCTCCAGTTTCTCGCATAACATCAATTAGGACATTAATAGCGATTGCGGCTATGTACAACTTTGATATACATCAAATGGATGTAAAAACAATATTTTTAAATGGAGAACTAGATGAAGAAATATACATGGAACAACATGAAGGGTTTGTGCTTAAAGGACAAGAAAGCAAAGTGTGCAAATTAGTTAAGTCATTATATGGACTTAAACAAGCACCAAAACAATGGCACGAGAAATTTGATCATAATTTGTTGACAAATGGGTTCAAAATAAACGAATCTGATAAATGTGTCTACATTAAGAGTAATGATAAAACTTGCGTTATTGTCTGCTTGTATATGGATGATATGCTCATAATGGGAACTAATAAAGATGTAAAAAGCAAAACAAAGAAAATGTTGAATTCAAGTTTTGACATGAAAGACTTAGGTCAAGCCGATGTCATTCTAGGAATTCAAATTAAGAGAAATAGTAAAGGGTATGTCCTTACACAATCCCATTATGTGGAAAAAATATTGTGAAGTTTTGGTCAATTTGATTGCAAACCTACTGCAACTCCTTTTGATGCTAGATGTAAGTTGGAGAAAAATAAAGGCAATGTCATATCTCAACTTGAGTATTCTCAAGTAATTGGAAGTCTAATGTACTTGATGAATTCAACTAGGCCTAACTTAGCTTATACAGTAAATAGGCTTAATAGATATACAATTAATCCGAGACAAGAGCATTGAGATGCTTTAGTAAAAGTGTTAAGGTATTTGAACAATACACTTGACTACGGATTACACTACACAAAGTATCTACTTGTTGTAGAAAGCTTCAGTGATGCTAATTGGATTTCTGACACTAAAGAATCCAAGTCGACAAGTGGATATGTTTTTACCTTGGAAGGTGCAACAATATCTTGGAAATCCTCTAAACAGAAATGTATAGCTCGTTCCACCATGGAGTCAAAGTTGATAGCTTTAGACTTGGTGGAGAAAAAGTCGAGTGGCTCAAACATTTTTTGGAGGATATTCCAATATGGCCAAAGCCTATAACTACTACATGTATACATTGTGATAGTATGGCCGCCCAATCAAGGGCCAAAAGTCATGTCTACAATGGCAAGTCGCGACACATCAAGCGTCGGCATAATACTCTTAAGAATTTGCTCTCCAGTGGAATAATATCCATTGATTATGTAAAGTCAAAGGAAAATATAGATGATCCTTTGACAAAAGGCCTACCAAGAAAGCAAATATTATTTACATCGAGGAGAATGGGTCTTAAGACAATTCAAAGAATCGGACTGGGCTGAAACTTAACCTAGTTGATTGAAAATCTCATGGTCTAGGTTCAATAGGAAAACTGGTTGAGTTTGATTCAAAAGTTAAACACACAACTTACCCATTCTTATGATAAAATGTGTGTTGTCTGTTGAAGTTTGAGGGGTTATGTTTTATACATTTAATACATTAATATCTTGTTATCAAAAGGAATATGGCAGACTATTCTTAATTAATGTAACATATATAGGAGTAAATGGGGCCGCATTTAGAGAATTGAAATGGCTAAATTCTCTAAAGTTAATACGAAATCTGGGTCTGTTCAGGGCCAAAATTAACATAATTGTATGAATTGATGTGTGGCAGACATGATATGTGTGTAGCATATTGTCTCGGTTTACTACTACGGTGAACAGTTCAAGATGTTCCACTGCGTCACCAAGTAAACCCGATATGTTTTCACTAGGGTAAGTTCAAGTCCAAAAGACACTTCACTCGATGCATATCATGTCTATTCTCTTTCAATTTTAGGCAGCCTAGTCATACATTTGCATTTACATTTGCATTCAATGTGGGGTGTTATAAGTAAATTGGTGGTGTTTGAATGAAATTTCAACTCAAATGTGGGGTATTGTTGAAATTTTTGAGTATAAATTTCATTGTCCCACATTGGTTACTACCAAAAGGTTCCCTCACTTTATAAGGTTTTGTCCATTATAAAAAGTGATTAGAGTAATGGACCATGAAGAATAAAATTGAGCTCAACCTTGGAGTTGAGCTTTGAGATGTACTAATTAATTGATAATTAATATATAATTAATTACCAAAAGATGGACCTTGGGCCTTAGGGCTCTTGGACTCAGACTCCAATAATTAAATTCTTTAATTAATTAATTATTTATTATATCAAGACTCATCTTTTCAGATGAAGTTTGAAGTGATGAAAGAACATCAGAAAGCAAAGCACCCTTCTGAGAAGATGTCTTCCAATAGATGCATCTCATTCTCAAACCTGTTACGAACATCTATAAACCTATTATATATACATCCATCTGCTTGACATTTAGAACACAGAAAAATAAAATTCTTCTTCTACAATCCCAAACATTCTTACTAAGAGAACCACAAAGAAATTCGCCAGAAGTCAAGTTCTCCAGTGCTGGAATTCTGACTTAGATCCTTGAATCCTGGTGAAGCAGACATTCGTAGAACTACAAACACTGAGTAGGGACAAAATTTATGTTTCAAGGACATTGCAGTATGCAAACCTCGATCTTCAATTTGTTTGTTTAATATTATTTCGTTTTGTTCATACTCTGTTAAATTATTTATTCGTATTTATTATTTATTAGCATATATAAATTTATGGTTTTGTTCATACTCCGTTGGCTATGCATATATACTAGTGTATTGCTTTACTTCTCACTTAATGAAAAACCATTTCAGCTTCTATTCTCTCTCTCTTTCGGCCCCTTTTCTCTCTGTCTCTCTGTTTCTCTTTCAATCTTTCTCTACAAGGTTTAATCTTTCGTTGAGATTCATCGATAGCATCATTCCAATTCTGTTAGTAAGGAGAACCATCAACTTAGTTATCAAAGAAGTACACTAGACTACACAGTTATTTATGGTAAAGCTAATAAACAAGCATGATTTAATTCTAGTCATACCAGTTAAGCAAGATACATAGTATGCAGTTCCCCCATGTCCTTTTTCTCACTTCCAAGCCGCAGGCGCAGGAAAAACCCCTCGAGTTGTGAGAGTGACGTGCGGAAATCCATCCATCTGATTCCAGAAAATACAAATTACACATGAGAACAAGTTAAACAAGGATACAGCTGCTTAAATATTCCTTTTAGTTGGACCGAGTTATCTGTATTTGATTCTTGGTCAGATTTCCCGAAGGTTCATGATCGTATGAGAATATCCAATTGAAGATTTATTTGAACATACGTAGTTTGCATGCCATGTTGATATCTACAGTATATTCATGAAATTTCTTCTTAAAATATTTGACAAGAAAATAAAAATTACTACTGAGAGGCTAGTTGGTACATTGCTTGTCAAAATACAAATGAACGGATGATATATTTTTTAGTATCCCTCCACTTGTATAATTACATATGCTGAAAATTTTCTCCTCTACATCACTCAAAAAAGATGCTAGCAAATTTCTCGAACAATTTAAGGAAGTAATTAGGTTAGTCCCTCCGTAAAATATTGTACCTTTATTTCTTTGCTTATCAACATTTCCATTGATCGATTCCGGCCAACGGGACAACCTCATCTGGGGTATTTGTTCGTGCTGATAAGGCCATATATTTACTCCCACATTTATAAGTAGTTTGACATATTACTATTTCCATTTGGAGTCGAGTTCTTGGAAAAATATATTAGTTGTCACCGCTCAAAACGCCAACCTCTTCTCCCCAAAATGCTATTCCATGCATTGAGTTTGTAAAATTTGATCACTCCATTATAACGTATGATCTCATTTTAATCTACAGCATTTTAATTTTGACAAATGGTTGCATTACATCATCCACAAAAATTCTACCATGGCCTCGTATATTATATACACCAATTTTGTTGACTTTAAATCTTAGTCACTGGATCCTTGACCAAGAATCTAACAATAAAAACTCAGTGTATTAAGCACCCTAAACGCCTGCAATGGGTCCCTACCCCCTCTACCTATCTCATTTATCTCCTGTTCCTCACGTGACTACATATTACGGGAGGATTGAGATAGGAGTGAACCCGGACTATGTAAGCTTTCACACTGGAGGCATTTGGAAGTCGACAACTTTCGTTTGAAAACCCTATCCAAGGCCACTTATGTAATAATTTGTGTACATTTAAGTATCCACACAGATCAATGCCGACAGTATAGCGACACTGATTGACATAGCCAAAAGAATCCTTAAACTCTTATAATTTCAGTTGAATACTATTTCATAGTTTAAACTGCAGAATGCTCTTCATGTACACAAAAAAATATCCAAGGTAAAAATTTCAGAATAACTATGTACAGAAGACTTCCGGCAGATCTTATCACTCTTGTTTGCAAGAGAAAGTTCAAACCAAGTTGAAATTTATAAATACCGAAAAAACTACAAGCCTAACATTCGTTTTCTCTTTACCTTTTCTCTCAAATCTTCTTCACACGGAATCTTGCCACTGCTCTTTGAGGCAGCAGACCACCATGCCCTCAGCTCGTCCTGCGATATATGAGGAGGTGAAATCAGCAAGAAAATAGAACTTCGGTGACAAGAAAGTTTCTAACATATTTATGTGGTGAATCGATGATAGTGATCTTGTTATGACAAAACCCTAGTTAATTGTTGTAGAGTAGGGCATAAGTGAAAGTCCAAAAAAAAGTGACACAATCTCATAAACCATATAGTCCTAGCAATACTAAGGGCTATACGGACAACCCAAAATAGAAACCCTAATAGTGGGAATGCATCACACACACAGTTGAATCAAGTTGTAACTCGTTAGCAAGTCAGATTATAATTACCTCGTGGAAATCGTTGTTGGATACATGCTTGCTCTTAACCATACATCTTATCCCCCCAACAATAACAGCTATAGAGTCTTTCACATTCTGTGGACAACTCTCTTTCTGAGAGCCTGTGGACAACAGAAATAAAAATGAACAAAAAAGAACTAAGGAGAAACATCAACTTAGTTATCAAGGGAAGTTTTTAGGCAAAGCTAATAAACAAGCATGGTTTAATTCTGGTCATACCAGTTATGCAAGACACATAGTATCCAGTTCCCCCAAGTCCTTCTTCCCACTTCCCAAGCCGCAGGCGGAGGAAAAACCCCTCGAGTTGTGAGAGTGACATGCGGGAATCCATCCATCTAATTCCGGAAAATACAAATTACACATAAGAACAAGTTACACGAGGATAAAGCTGCTTAAATATTCCTTTTAGTTGTACCTAGTTATCTGTATTTGACTCTTGATCAGATTTTCTGATGGTTCATGATCGTATGAGAATATCCAATTCAAGATTTATATAAACATACCTAGTTTGCATGCTATGTTGATATCTACAGTATATTCAAGAAAATTTGTTCTAAAAATATTTGACAAGAAAATAAAAATTACTACTAAGAGGCTAGTTGGTATGCTCAACTTACTTCTGAACATCTGTGCGAGACAAGCGAAGCCTTTTCACAGATTCGATGATTCCTTTCGGTATATTTGGAATCTGCATATTGACAAACTGTGACGAGGGCATGATCTGATTTTCTTTCAACTTATTTTCCACAGAGCTTGAAGCACTGTTTTGCATAACTGAATTTGAACGATATGATATTTTCTTAGAGGCTCTCATCTCATTAGCATTCCAGCTCATATTGATACCTGTCTCCATTCTTGAAGTGTCCTCATTAAAACATTTATGAGCAACAGAAGCATCGAACTGACTCTCCTTACCAGTTAGGAGCTTCATATCTCCATCAATTCTTGAATTCAGCTTCGTTTCACTCTGACTGCAACAATAATCTAAACAAGAAACATTACATTCAATTTGCGGTGGTCCCGTTGAGGGTGCATTAGGTCATGCAACCGCCCAATGACTCTGTTGTAAACATCTAATGCAATAAGGCAGATTTTATGCTCCATTATAGGACTTAATATTACTTAATAATTCCTGAATCTGTCTCTTATCTGTGAACACTCTTGTAAATGGTGACCTTTTATGCCACAAAACAAACACGTCATGATTTCATAGGAAGCATTACCTGATGCACTGGATGGGGTGATGTTCTTAAGGGCATCCAATCTCCTAGCAAAAACAGAAGCCACTTCCGAACTTCTGACTTCAGAGGAAGGTAAGATAGGGCTGAATTCGGACATGGACGCTTGACCACTCTGACCTTTATTTCTATTGAAAGCAGATGAGCCCTCATTGTCAGCTGCACAGTTTTGCAGATTGTTACCAATGACAATAACTAAATCACCAGCGGACTGTTCCTTGTCCCCCACATGTTTGTGGTCGTTGGAGCACTCAAGAACTCCATCAGCACCCTTGTTGTAATGATCTGTGATTAAAGATGGACTGGGTGTTTTTGGAGTGAACCGAGTTATCCACAAGCTTCCCATCAGGTCCCTTCTATAACCAAATTCATCAGTCGTCTTCCCTTTAAATTGTGAGCTAGATTCAACATCCTCGACCCTCCCTTTCTTGAGTTTACACAGAGAAGAATTAGGGCTAACTCTATCTTTCCGTTTATAAAACGGAAAGTTGCATGGATTCTTTTTCTCCTCGGAGCCAGTATGGCTTTTCCCCTGACTGCCTGCTGAACGCACTTCATGTCCTGATGAAGATTTGTTGAACTTTTCAACTGGCAGCATAAATCCTCTGCCTAAATTAATATTCTCCCCATGACAGACTTTTGGAGAAGTAGCTGGCTCGAGTTCAGTTGATATATCTACTAATTTATGATTGTTACTCAATATCTGTGCTTCTTGGCGCTCTGCAGTTGGGCAATACAAGGACTGAAAAATTGTCTGGAAACCGATACTTTTTACCGCATCACCTTGGTTCAAATTGCATGTGATAAGTTTATTATCAGGATTCTCATCTCCATGATCAGGATGTGCAAGGGTAAGTGCAAGAGGCGGTGCCTCATCTTGTATTGATTTTGAAAACCCTTTCACCATGCTTGATATCCAAACCATGAAGGAGCTATCTTGTCTACTAGAGGATGCGCAGATCGGAGTTTCTAGAATTTGCTTTCTGAATCTTTTACTCCCGACAATGAACTCTTCTTCGGAGTTCCATCTCTTCTTGCCCGACGAAAACAATCCTACACTATTACAGCTCTCAACACTTTCATGGCTATCATCCTTATCTTTTGTCATTCTTCCATTATGATCTTCATCAGATAACGCTTTTTCTTTGCCTTTCCTTCGATGCATATGGATGCTGCTGTTAGTAGGAGAGTGTTTGTCAAGAACAGATTCATTTCCAGGAAGCATCTCCTGACCTTGTTCGAACCTGTCCTTAACCCCTGGGGAAGATTCTGATCCTAAAAACTGACTTGCTGCAGCATAAGCATGTTCATCTTTAAGGTTCATTATATCATTCTCAGCTGTTGCCTCCAGTATATCCAAAGGCCTACTGCCTTGTACCTTTTTATTCATCACTGGAGCATCTGAAGCTTTACTTTCGTTCACTGGGTGAACTTTGGAAGTCAAAACAAGTTGCATTTTCTGATCCCCAACATCAGCATGTCTGTCCTGACCAACAGAATCCTCCAATAATGGTTCAGTTTGTTCCACAAAAGGTATCTTTTGATCTGATTCGACAAATAAGATATCAGCCCCCTCTCTGTCACCGTTACCTGTGTGAGTACCATCAAATCAATAACTTGTAATGCAGAAAGAAGAAAAAAAGTCAGTTGTTGGCAAGGCAACATATACTTGAAAAACAGCCCTCAGAACAATTTTACTGTATTTTGAGCATAAGCTGCAGGGAGATTTCTAAATTTCATCTACCGAATTAAATGTGCAACACTGAAAATGTGAATAGCAGGATTCACCTGACAATCTTGTAATGAAATTTTCTTTGGTCTCAGATATTTGAGGTATTTCATGTACTTCGACATTGGCTTGACTGCAATTGCCCTCCTGGTTATGTGGAACAGATACTTCCACAGCCACTTTCACTTCCTCCACATTACTACCATTTCCTGCAAAGAGGAGATCCTCAACAATTCCGGCAACAATTTTCTCAGGAAATATATAAACAAACAATATAACAAACCTATACTACAAATTCATTGTCCTACAACTCAAAGACTCTTCATTTTATACTTAACTAACAAAGTTCTAAGAATAAGGCCTCACCCGTCTCATGGCTTGACCTGCATATTAGCATGACGCCAGCATCGCTTGTGGGAGACATAGTCATTTCTTTACTTGCAACTTCTCTCGTTAGATGAACTGTTGTCTGTGCTGTTAGAAAGTCCACGTCATCAGTAAGCCTGTCAGTAGTAGACCTGCCTATATTGCTTTGTGGCGGTGAAAGAGTGACATTACTTGGACCTGCAACCCAAGAAAAGTAAGATTTTCTGTTTGAAAAGACAGAATCAGCTCATTTTAGCCACAACCTTTATCTTTATCCCAAACTAATTCTGACAGGGGCTCAGGAGCCACGAATGCCCTGTGTATCCTTGAACCTGCATTTGCACCTGCACCTGAATCACCGTTCAATTTTCTCCGAATGCATTGATTCAAATATCCCAGAAATAGTCCCAAATCAGTCACAGGCTCTATGTTCTCATTGTCTGCATCCATTTTCTGCATGACAAACATGCAAATTGTTCCTACAAGAAAGATAACACTCACTTTCCATTGAAAATCCAGGCTTTTTAATAAAAGATATGTGATGAGTCCCCCTTATCTTCTATTTTGAAAACTGTGGGGACAATAATTATCCAACAAAGGGGTTTGAAAATCTAATGCCCAGAGAAAAGAAGGCACCCTATCATGAGAAAGTAACTATAATTTTTTTTTTTTGGGAGGATACAACAAACCAACTGGGACAAAAGAAAGTAGCACATCACAAGGCGCATCAGTCACATTATATCAACTATGAATCCTTTGCTATGAGATAGATGCAACCTACACATTCAGCTGGATCGGCAATGAGGATATTTAACCGCAAATCAGAGGGGTTGGCAGTTGAAATCCATAGAATTCTATTACCTGTGATATTAATACCATCTTCAATCAGGTTTCAAAACTTCATTGATATATAGAGTTTTTGAGGTACTTGATTAGATTCTTCTGTTATTTGAATTAAATTAACAAAATACTGTTAGACAACACTGAACTTGAAAAGCTTAAGCTGTAAACGGAATTGACCTACAGCGTAAATCAAGCTAACACCCTCCCTCACATGTAGCCTTATCCTGCACGTGGAGGAGAGGAAGAGAAATACAGACAGAGTGCATCCCCACCCTCTACCGTGTAAACCGACAAAGAAGTGGGGAATGACGACTGGAGTTTTTGAACCCAAGACCTCCTGAAAACCATAGCTTCAATACCATGTTAGACATTGTACCCCAAAAGCTTAAACTGTTAGGGAATGGACTAACAATGTATATAAAGCTAGCAAATTTATCACGGTGCAGGTAAGAGCCATGGGAAACATACGGTGTAAAATGAAAACGCGCCATGATTTAGTATTGTGCAAGAATTTGAGAATTAGACTGAGAAGTTCATTCGGGATTGATAAGTAAAAATGTTCAGATACTAAAATTGTACACCACCAACAGCGATCTTGATGCATGAGCATACTGAAGTTCCAAAGGTTTATATTCCGTCTAACGGCCCACACCTAAACAACATTAATATTGTCCCCAACTTAACCACAAGTACAATTCAATAGATAGTGAAACCATTCAATATAAACGGGATTTAACTTTATCAGGTTTTAAAAATCATGCATTGCAAGAATAAAATTTTATGCCAAAGACAAAAAAATAAAAAATAAAAAATTCAACTACCCTATTGTTGTCAGGACCAATTTTTCGAGGCTCATATTATCTGAAAATATAACTAAAGATTGGGATAGAATTTTGGAAAAAAACATGATTTTTTTTTTCAATACAAATTGAACAGACTTCTTCATTTTTCAGGAAAAAACTTCAAAAGAAGTTCCCTTTTGCTGCATGGGTTACAAAAGGGGTGTTCATATGTTCAATAGTTTCTAATCAGCAATTTTAGAAAATAATAATCTCAACGTTTTATCTGTTAACTTAAGACAAATCAAACATGAATATATAAATAAAAAAAGGAAATATACCAAGTTCAAATATACAATAGCATATGTGATCAGAAAATTGCAAAAATAACAACTTGGGGTTAAAGAATTGAAGCAGCATAAAAAGGCAACAATTTGAATTTGAGAAATACCCATTACAGAAAAAGCATTTATTGTGAAGACCCATGTACCTGTTGTCCCTTGACTCCATTGATTCTTCTCAAATAAACACCGAGAGAGAGAGAGAGAGATAGACAAGAAGAAGAAGAAGAAGAAGAAGAAGAAGAAGAAGAAGAAGAAGAAGAGAGAGGATGAACGAGAGTTTGAGTTTCAAGTAAATGTTAACAGACAGAGAGAAAGGAGAGAGGAGAAGGAGAAGGGGTTGCAGTTGCAGCGAGAGAGTGCGTGCCAGGCGTCCTTGAAGAAGCAAAGTTCACGTGGAGGCTACTTCCCTTGGCATTTGCTCAGATTCCGAGGTATGAGGTTCAGGGGCTGCCACGTTGACGCAGTGCATGCCAACAACACAGCGTGATGAGTTTAGTAGTTATCTATTCAGTTCATGGTGAATCGCAAGGGCGGCATAAACTTGATATGGCATGCAGTCCACATCTTTGATACTCTCATGCGTAAGAAAAGCACATGTTTTAAGGCCAAACATTTTGATAATAGAATGACTTATATAATACTATTATTGGAGAATTTTATATTAATAATAATGATTCTATGTAAAAAAAAAGCACATATTTTAAGTTAAGTATTTTGAAAAAGAATGATTTATATGTCATAAATATATTGTTATTTTAGCATTTTATATTAATTTATAATAATGAGTGTATATGTGTCTTTTTGCATTTTCTATTTTTAGACAAAACAGTATGATTTTCTGTGTGTGTCAGTATCTGCTTTCCTTTTAAAGATATACAGTGTATGTTAATTTACAAGAAAAAATCCCTCAAAAAGAAATTTAAAAAGTTACGGCGGTAAAATTCAAAAGGGAAAGTGGGGGATAAGCTCATTTAAAAAAACAAAATTACTTCTGCTGTAATGTGAAAATAAGCTCGCTTTTGCTGCTTCATTTTTTCAGTTTTTTTCATCAAAAATTGTGAAAATAAATTATTTTTAAGTGTTTACCAAACACCTTTTTGAGCTTAGATTTGTTTGATACTCACTTTTTATAAAAACACCTCAGTACCAAACCAATACTTAGATTTTTGCTATATGGCAACTGTCACATCCCGGCCCGGGGCAGATCACTTCCCGGGCCCGCTCCACCACCGTAGCACGATATTGTCCGCTTTGGGCTTACCATTCCCTCACGGTTTTGTTTTTGGGAACTCACGAGCAACTTCCTAGTGGGTCACCCATCCTGGGAGTGCTGTAGCCCCCTTCTCGCTTAACTTCGGAGTTCCTACGGAACCCGAAGCCAGTGAGCTCCCAAAAGGCCTCGTGCTAGGAAGGGATGAGAATATACATATAAGGATCACTCCCCTGGGTGATGTGGGATGTCACAATCCACCCCCCTTAGGGGCCCGACGTCCTCGTCGGCACACCACGCGACCAGGGTTAGGCTCTGATACCAATTTGTCACATCCCGGCCCGGGGCGGATCACTTCCCGGGCCCGCTCCACCACCGTATCACGGTTTTGTTTTTGGGAACTCACGAGCAACTTCCCAGTGGGTCACCCATCATGGGATTGCTCTAGCCCCCTTCTCGCTTAACTTCGGAGTTCCTACGGAACCCGAAGCCAGTGAGCTCCCAAAAGGCCTCGTGCTAGGAAGGGATGGGAATATACATATAAGGATCACTCCCCTGGGTGATGTGGGATGTCACAGCAACTGCGGCCTTATCTGACTTTGAGTTAAAGGACAAAAACAAGAGTCCATTTCAATTTCTTTTTTATTTAAATTATTTTTTCCTTTTCTCTTTTCACTAAAAGTAAACTGGAAGGCTTGATTAGGAGAAATTTTTCTATGTTCCGATAATACTAACTGAGCCAGCGTTCCTCACAAATAATAACTGGACACATATTCACCACTAATCAGCATTTGACGTGTGGCAAAAAACAACACTCCCTGGAGTTAATGCACTTCGGTTTCTAGAAAATATAATCGATGCATTTGTTAATGAACTCCCTTTATTATCCCTAATATTCATTGTTTCATTTCTCAGAAAAGAATTAGATTAAAGAAGAAAAAAAACATAAAAAAAATCCCAGATTTCTCTTCACACTCCACCACTTCCACTTCCACTGCCACACCCCTCGCCCCAACCCACCAATCCCTTCCTTCTTCCTCACCTTTCTCTCTCACCTTCTTTCTCTCTTCCACTTTTCCTTTCTCCTCCTCTCTTTCGCCAGGGACAGACAAAAGGGAATGCCGGTGAGTCGGTGAACTCACCAACTCTTGAGTTGTCATCAACCATTCATCGGGTTGATTTCGAAGTAAGAGTGGGATAAATAGAGGGAAGAGGAGATAGAATAATAAGATAGAGTCTCCAGTGATGGAGGTGGATGGTCGCTTTGTGATGGGAGCTCAGCATCAATGGCGTGGTAGGGGTTGGCGGTGAATTTCTGTATTTTCTTTTGTAGTAGGTTAGGGGTAAATTAGGAAGCTTCAATTAAAAAAGAATCTAGTTGACAATTTTTAACCTGAATAAAATAAAATAAACATGTGTCAAGCCTTTATTTGTTAGGAACACCAACTCAGCTAGTGTTCCCGGAACCCAGAAAAATTTCTCCTTGATTAGGGCATTATATGTGTTGCTTAGCCACTAAAAGTAACGAATGATTATGTATCTTTACAGATATAGGGAAGCGGACACATCACCATAACCACTCGAGAGGGTAACGAGGTTCAACGGGATGGTCACGTTTTTCGAGAATGGTTTTCTCTTATAATTGAGAGATTTTGAGGAATTTTAAAATTAATAGATTTTGATGAATTTTAAAATTCATGGATTTTGATGGATTTTAATTTTTTTTTTTATTTTTTTTTATGGATTTTGATGGAGTTTAGTTGGTCTGTAAAGATTTTATGTAAATTTTGATTCTATTTATTCGAATTCTGAAAGGGATATGTGAGATTTGTAATGTTTAAAATACACTCTGAATTCTCCTTAATTCTCTCAAATACTCAACCTTTTTTAATTCTTTAAAATTTGTAAAGAATTCAATAATTGTGTATGAATTCATTGATATCTAATAATTCAATACAGAGGCCTATTTACATGTACAATGGTCAATTAAGATCCTACAATTATACATATACAAGTTGTTCTTTATTTTATACATCTATATGAAAGGAATGGAATCAGTCTAGGTGATTGATATTAGATCCATATCATATCATGTTAAATAAGCCTTAATAGGCTTTACTTTCCTCAACACTCCCCCTCAAGTTGGAATGTATGTTAATGATTCCCAACTTGCCAAGTAAAGCTGTGAACTGGAGAAGACTCAATGACTTAGTGAAGATATCAACTGGCTGCTGTAATGTGCGTATGTGAGCTGTTTCGATTATTCCACCTTGAACATTTTCTTGTGTCAAGTGGCATTCAATCTCTATGTGTTTAGTTCGCTTATGGAACACTGGGTTTGAAGCGATGTGGAGTGTTGCTTGATTGTCACAAAACAATTTAACAGGATTTGAATGTAGAATGCCCAAGTCTCCCAAAATGTATTTCAACCAAGTGATCTCGCAACATGTTGTAACCGTAGACCGGTATTCAGCTTCAGTGCTTGACCGCAACACGGTGGTTAGTTTCTTGGTTTTCCAAGACACTAATGACTTTCCCAGGAAAATACAATATCTGGTGATGGATCGTCGAGTATCACGACATCAAGCCTAATCCGCATCAGAAAATGCATTTAATTGAATTAAGCTGCTTGCAGGGAGAAAAATGCCTTGTCCTGGTGTGTGTTTGACATAACATAATAGTCGATAAGATGCGTCTAAATGTGGAGTTCGTGGTTTATCCATGAATTAATGTAAAATGTGAACATCATAAACCAAGTCTGGTCGCGTGATGGTCAAGTAGATTAATCTACCAACAAGCCTTCGATAAGAAAAAGGGTCATTGATGTAGTCATCATCATCTTTGCTTAAGGAAAAATTTTGTTCCATGGGAGAAGAAGTTGGTTTCACTCCAAGAGAACCAGCATCTTCAAGTGTTTCAAGAGCCTACTTCCGTAGTGAAAATGTGATGCCTTTGGTGGAACGAGCAATCTCTATGCCAAGAAAATACTTCAATTGACCATGGTCTTTTAACTTGAATTTCTGCATAAGAAATGACTACTGTATCTTTAATGTCTTGTAGATTATTTCCTGCCAAAATGATGTCATCTACATAAGCAAGAAGAGCAGTAAATTTTCCAGCTTGGTTTCAGACGAACAATGAATAATCTGCCTTGGATTGTCTATATCCAGCTTGTTTGAGGGCAGAAGAGAGTTTAAGAAACCATTGGCAAGAAGCTCGTTTGTGTCCATACAACAATTTATGAAGCTTACATACTCGTGTCTCCCCCGTTCATCCAAAACCAAGAGGTAAGGACATGTAAACATCTTCATCAAGAACCCCATGAAGAAAAGCATTATTAACATCAAGTTGATGGAGATGCCAATTTTTGGTAGGAGCTACAACAAGGAGAAGACACACAGTAACATGTTTTGCTACTGGGGCAAAAGTCTCTGGAAAAGGAAACACTATTTCATGAAACAAAACATCACGGGAGATGAAAATTTTACCCGTAGTGAGATCATATAACCGATAATCTTTTGTGCCGTATGGATATCCGAGAAAGTACAACATGTGGCCCTTGCATCAAATTTGGTGGGACGGTGATGATGTGAAGAGGCAAAACATAAACACCCAAAAACCCCTATGTGATCATAAGTGGGTTGTTTATGAAAAAGCACTTCATATGGTGTTTTTCCCTTAAGAACTGAGGTGGAATTCGATTAATAAGGTAAGTGGCAGTTAAAATGGCATCACCCCAAAATTTCTTAGGAAGGTTGGCCTGAAACAATAAGGCTCGTGCTACATTGAGTAGGTAACGATGTTTTCTCTTGGCTACGCCATTTTGTTGTGGGGTAGAAACACAACTAGTTTGATGAAAAACCCCTTTATCTGAATAAAATTGTGTCATCATGAATTCTGGTCCATTGTCACTTTGAATT